ATACAGACCACACATAGACACACATACCACATACAGAGCACACACAGAACACACATCTACACATGCCACACAGAGAGACACTCATACCACATACACACACACACAAAGACATACATACCACACAGAGACATACAGACCACACATAGACACAGATACCACATACAGAGCACACACAGAACACACATCTACACATGCCACGCAGAGAGACACTCATACTACATACAGACACACACAGAGACACACATACCACACAGAGACACACATACCACATACAGAACACACATCTACACATGCCACACAGAGAGACACTCATACCACATACAGACACACACAAAGACACACATAACACACAGAGACATACAGACCACACATGGACACACATACCACATACAGAACACACACAGAACACACATCTACACATGCCACATAGAGAGACACTCATACCACATACAGACACACACAAAGACACACAAACCACAGAGAGACACACACACCACATACAGACACACAGAGACACACATACCACACAGAGACACACATACCACACAGAGACACACATACCACATACAGAACACACACAGAACACACATCTACACATGCCACACAGAGACACTCATACCACATACAGACACACACAAAGACACACAAACCACAGAGAGAGACACACACCACATACAGACAGACACACATACCACACAGAGACATACAGACCACACATAGACACACATACCACACAGAGACACACCAACACATACAGACACACACAGAGACACATGTACCACACAGAGACACAGACACCACATACAGACACACATAAACACACATACCACACAGAGACACACATACCACATACAGACCACACAAAGACACACATACCACATACAGACACACACATACTACACAGAGACACACACAACACATACAGACACACACAGAGACACAGACACCACATACAGACACACACATAAACACACATACCACACAGAGACATGCATACCACATACAGACCACACATAGACACACATACCATATACACACACACACATAGACACACATACCACATACAGACATGCATACCACATACTACACAGAGACACACACAACACATACAGACACACACAGAGACACATGTACCACACGGAGACACAGACAGCACATACACACACACACACACATAAACACACATACCACACAGAGACATACAGACCACATACAGACCACACATAGACACACATACCACATACAGACACACACATAGACACACATACCACATACAGACACACATACTACACAGAGACACACACAACACATACAGACACACACAGAGACACACGTACCACACAGAGACACAGACAACACATACAGACACACAGAGACACATACACCACACAGAGACAAACTCCACATACAGATACACGTACCACACAGAGACACATGTATCACATACACACTCTGTCCCCAGCTCTTCTTCCTTGGTGGCAGTAAGTCCTCTGATCTCTGCTCACTTGTTTGGTCCCTTTTATATCTCACAAGAGATGGACTCAAGACACAGAGTAATCCTTCAGATTGTCTCTTGCTGCATTCCCATCATACAGGCGAGGATGTAAGATAATGACATCAGATCACAGAATGGGGAATCATTACATAATAATGAGAGTCAGAGCCTGCCAAGGTGACTCAGTTTTTGAGGGGGGCAGGGAGAGGGATACAATTCAGTCCATAGGAATCATCTTGCACAGATATGAGATCAAAATATTTGATCTTGCAAAGGAGTAATTTTTAAAACTCTGTACAGAGCAGGCATGGCGCCGTCAATCAGGGCTTGCGCGTTCTGCGGTGTCGGTGGGAGGACAGAGGTGCTGTGCTGGACTTGGGGCCACTCCTGGCTCTGGGGTCGGGGCACAAGCTGCTGTTTACACCTTTCAGACCTGTTGAGAGTTTCTGGGCAGACTATTCACGGACGAGGCATTGGGGCTCAAGTCCTTTGAATTGGTGTGTGTGTGTGTGTCTGTATGTCCGTATGTGGTATGTGTGTCTGTGTGCATGTCTGTGTGCCTGTATGTATGGTGTTTATGTACCTGTGTGTGTGTCTGGGTGTATCTCTCTGCGTGTCTATGTTTGTATGTCTGTGTCCATCTGTGCCTGTGTGCATGTGTGTTGTTTGCCTGTCAGTATGTAACTTGCTCCCTAGTGTCTGCCTCAGACCGGGGGTATACGGACTGTGCTAACAGTTTCTGGGAAGTTGTTCTCTGCGCTCCAAGCAGCTCCAAGGCTCCAGGCTCCCTTGGTCAGGGCCCCGTGTAGGGTTTCTGAGGAGCAGCTGACCTTGGGGTTAGCAATCCAGTGCTGATCCTACAGCACCAGGTTCCCGTATTCTAGGAGAATGAAAATGGTCATTCCTAGGGACAAAGGGGGAGAGAGTGGTGGTTCTGTGGAGAAGCCCCACCTTCCACATGGGAGACCTGGGTTCGATTCTCAGCCAGTGCTCTTTGCGGGCAGCCACCACCTGTCTGACAGTGGAGGACTGATGCTGAGCAAACTAGGAAGGCGTAGGAAGAAAGGCCTGGGGATCTGCTTAGGAAGACCAGTTCCTGGAAGCCCTGTGACTGCATGTCCGTGAACTACGGCAGCTGGCGAGGGGAAGAGTTTAAGGAAAGACTGGTGTGAATGCTGTAAAAGTTTTCCTGGCCATCAAACGGCCTTAACCTAGTGGGTGAAAGATCCGGGACACGTGGACTGCATCCCGATATGGACAAAGGCTTCACAGGACTACGTGGAAGGAAATCTTCTAGACTTTGCGGAGCCCCGGACTCCTGGGCCCCGGCAGGCATACACACGCATAGTCATTTCTTGACGTGGAAACCAGTCCTGGCTCAGTGCAGAGGCTGTGTGCACGGCGGGCAGCCCCATGCCGTCCTCTCTCCTGACCTCAGGACAGCGGGGCATCTCCAAGTGGCCCTGGCCTGCAGTGGTTTACCTCACATGAGTGCAATGGCCAAGCCCAGTGCCCAGTAATGGGTGCTGTGGTGGGACCCCAGACCTGTGCAGCCTCTCACTGACCAGCTGCTGCTTGCTCGGCAGACTCGAGTTAACGTGACTGCACCAATCTTGCCTCATTAGCCTCATAAGTCAACCCCAAACCCACGATTATGAAATTGATTCCTTTCGGGATGACCTTGGAAGACAGAGCAGAGCTGCCCACAGAGGGTCTCCAGACTGCCGCATCGTTGTCCCACCTGTGCCACCAAGGCTCTGTGCTCCCTGTGACCTCCCTATGTGGAACTGGTTTGATTCTCCTGACAACACTAAACCAGATTTAGCACCAAATGCACCAAATTGACCGCCATTGAGTCGATCCCAACTCAGAGCGTCCTCAGAGGACAGAGCCTAATGGCTCCTGTAAATCGGCTCCAGACAGCCTCATCCTTCCCCGAGGAGCAGCTGGAGGGTTGGAACCACCTACCTTGTAGTTAGTAGGCAAACACTTAACCCACATGCCACCAGGGCCCCATTCGGTAATGTCATCAGATCACAAAATGGAGGGCCCAGACGAGTGGACGCCTGTTTCCTGGGTGTAACACATGCATTCCTTTGGAAAATAGGAAATTGTCACATAAAAATATAGAGTTCTAGTTTCTCTTGAGAAATCCCTTGTGATTCTAATTGTCTGGTGCCAAACAGCGGCATGTGTGGCTTGTGTATGACTGGGATGCTGGAAGCTGTGCCATTGGTATTTCAAATATCAGTAATGTCACCCATGGTGGGCTGATTCCAGTGAAACTTCCAGACTGAGACTAAGAAGAAAGTCCTGGTGGTCTTCTGAAAACTAGCCAATGAAACCCCTATGGCCCACAACAGAATATTGCCCTGTGCAGGACTGAAGGTGTGCCCCTGAGATTGGAACACTCAGCACACAGTGGCCATAACGGTGATTTGCACACGACAGCAAACATGGAGAGGGCACAGGACCGGGACGTTTTCTCCTAGTGGACACTGTCTCCTCCATGCAGTGCGGCCCTCGCCAGGCTTCACAAGCCTCTTCAACTTCCTGCCCATTGGCTCAGCGTGGTCTTCAGAGCCAGGTCTGACCCGCTCTGCCGTCTAACCTTGCCTGTAGATGGGATGGTAAGCATGCCATCATGGTGGTGAGTGGTTGTGAGGAGCTAACACAGCCTGGCAGTGGCTGTCCACCTATTGGTCGATTCCTGGTGACCTCCTTCCCCCGCCTCGCCACCCACTCACAACATGACCCCTGAGACAGATGAAGGCGGTGGAACTCGATCCCATAATGACCCACAGCTGTTAGCTTCCTCCTGCATGTTGACTGGGTGGACAGCGAGACTTGTCCTAGGACTTCGGGCATAGCATCAGGAGGGACCAGTCCCTGAAGTACATCATGCTTGGTAAAGTGAGGGGTTCAGCAAAAAAGAGACCCCCAGCCAGATGGATTTTTAGGTAGTGTATCTAAAAAAGAAAAAACTAAGTTGTTGATTCTGACTCACCTGCTCACGGTGCCCCCATGTATGTCAGAATTGAACTGGGCTCCACAGGGTTGCCAAGGGCAGATTTTTCAGAAGTACATCACCAAGTCTTTCTTCCAACATAATATGCCTCTGGGTGGACTTGAACCTCCAACAGTCCGGCGAGCAGCCCAGTGCATTAGCTGCCGAGCCAGCTCTGCTCAAAGGGCCCTATGGAACAGGGCAAGACTGGCCCATCAGATTCCCAAGGCTGCCAACATTACAAGAGCAGACTGCCCCAGCTCTCTTCCATGGAGCAGTTGGTGAGTCCAAGCCACCAATGCAGTGGTTAGCAGTCCAGCGCTTTACCACCGTGCCAACAGGGCTCCTTAAGTAAGACACAAACCAAGCCATGGCCATCGAGGCAGCTCTGACTCACAGCGACCTGTACAGGGTTGCCGAGGAGCGGCTGGTGAGTTTGAACTGTTGACCTTGTGGTTAGCAGTCCAGTGCTTGATCCTCAGGGTGACACCAGGACTTCCTTGGTGGTGGTGGTAGTGGTTAGGTTCTGCCTCTCAGTAACCCTGAGTAGGATTTCTGAGCCTGTCAAGCTTCACAGAAGCAGAAAGCCTCATCACTCTCCCACGGAGTGGCTGGTAGACTCGAACTGCTGATCCTGCGGTTAGCAGCCCAACTTGTAACCCACTATGCTACCAAAGCTCTAAGGACCACATTTGTTGTTAAGTTCTGTTGAGTTGGTTCCGATTCATAGCGATCTTTATAGGGTTTCCTAGGAGTGGCTGGTGAGTTTGGACCACCAACCTTATGGTTCAAACTGACCTTGGGGTCCAGCGCTTTATCCCACAGGGCCACTCCAGGACTCCAGGAGCCCATCAGGTCTCTAAAATAATATGCACCTAACCAAACCCATGGCCATCAAGGTGGTTCTGACTCAACGGTGAGCCTAGAAAAACTTAGCAACTTCAGCACCGATAGCTGCGCATTAACTGAAAACAGTTCTTCACAAAGTCTGTGAAATGGGTTGGCACTGGTGTTAGCAAAGACTTTAGTAGACTAAGGAAAGCCCACGCCTATTGCTGCCAAGTTGGTTCCAGCTCCTAGTGACCCTGGAGGACAGAGTAGAAGCACTCCACAGGGTTTCAGAGGCTGTCACTCTTTACGGGTGTAGGCTGCCTCTCCTTTCTCCCGCGGAGCAGCTGCTGATTAGGGTGCAATCTACACCAGACCCTGGGGATGTTTAGGCTGCCTGGCTGCCAGGGACACAGGGTTCACATTTAGTTTTCTCCGTGGGTGGTGTCCCAGGGCGGTGCAAACAGTACAGCTGTTCTTCAAAAGGTTGGCGGTTGGAGTTTACCCCAAGACACCTTGGATTCAAGGCCTTGGGGACTTATCGTTACTGGAGTAACAGGAAGTCAGGAGAGCCTGTCCTGTGTTGAGTCTGAAGTTGAGGAAACCATCCGGGAGAGGACTGAGCCCCAACCCAGAGGCACCTGGGAAGAAAGAGCTGGTAATCCACTTCTACAAAATCAGCTACTAACAACTCGATGAAGCGCAGTGTAACTTTCACACACATGGGGGAGCCGTGTGTGAAACTTTTTTTTTGGTTTTGTTTTACTGTTTTACGTAAAATTTTCTTGGGAAACAACCGGAAGACCACAGGGTAGATATAGAATTGTTAACTTTTAAAAATGTGTGGGTAGAATCTGCCACAACCACCACGGCTGCGCTGCAGTGTGAGGTCTTGAGAAATACCACTGGTACTGGTGGTGGTTATGTGCCGTGGAGTCGGTTCTGACTCAGAGTGACCCTGTTCAGGGTTTCTGAGGCTGTAAATCTTTACAGGAGCAGAAAGCCTCATCTTTCTTCGGAACTGCTGGTAGTTTCGAACCCAATTTGTAACCACTACGTTACCAGAGCTCCTTGAGAAATGTCATTAGAGTCTCCCAGGCTTGGCCCTGCGTGGGAGGAGTTGGAACTTCTCATAACCCGCCAGGTCCACATCAATCTCCCTTTTGTTTTCACGGAGCCCGAAGCAGCATCGCTCTGAGGGCAAGGGCTGGGTGCCTCTTCCAGGGAGGAGAGCAGTGCCCTTGGATGCTGAGGGCCGGCCACTGGGTATCCAGGCCTGTCAGAGGCTAGGCAGAGGATGGCAGCCCCCCAGCCTCCCTCTGCCCCACTCTGTGCTCTTGGGGGCGTGCCTGGTGGCAAGTCTGGTTTGGGGGCTCAGACTGCAGAGCTTCCCTGAAGAGGCTGGCCTGGATGGAAGCCCCCTCAGGACCCTGGAACTGTGGGGTTGCAATCACTAGACAGGAGTCCTGGTGTGGCGCTGTATTGAGGTACTGGTCTGCTAACTGGAAGGTGGGCAGTTCAAACCCATCCAGCAGCTGTGTGCAAAGGCATTTCTACTCTGCACTCTAGGTCGCTGTGAGTCGGGATCCACTGGATTGGCAGTGGGCTTGCTTTCTGAGCTTGCTCAGTAGTGCGGTGGTTAAGTGTTTGGTAACTAACTAGGAGGTCGGCCATGTGAACCCACCAGTTGCTCAACAGCAGAAAGAACAATCCGTGCCCAGCTCTGCCCAGAGATTTCCATGTTATCCCCCTCCTTCCTGGGCAGAAAGACACTTGGCCTCAACAGGCCATCTCAAACGGATAAAAGAACTATTTCAGTGCAGCAAAGTTTTTGGAAACCATCATCTCTGAATCCTCCCAGGATTTTGTTTCATAACACACATTTCACAACCTGCTGTGTTCATTTCTCTGTGAAATGAACATTTCGGAGAGCGGGGAGGCACACCAGAGGGCTGCTGAGGCTCTGTTCTGGAAGTCGAGCCCCAAGAGCCTGGGGTAGGTGGGCCGTGGGGAGATCCGCAGACTCGCCGCTGGCTGGGGTGTGAGTCAGCAGAGCTGGCCACTCCTCACGTCTTTCCTGGAGTGACCCAGATCATGGGGTACCCTCAAGGCCTGTCTGCTTCTCAGCCACCCCAAGGACACACCCTGTGAAAAGGGGTCCTGACTTGTAGCCTCTCGAAGCTGAGAAAGGACCCGGTATCACATGATTATTTGAGGTCTCTCAAAGACAGGAAATGGGGACATTCTAAACCATGTTATGTTCTACCTGTGTATACCTGGGGGCTTTAGAAACTTTGTGAGAAATAGAACAAAAAGGTAATATTTCCCCCTAAACGTTTGGAGTCCCTTCATATTAAAGCCACCCGGGCCTTGGACTCACAAAGCCCTAGGTTGCCCTATGGCTGTGGCTGTCCGAGACACTCACAGGACTGACGTTCCAGTGAGGGAAGTGCTGGAGCATGAGGTATCTTCCCTCAGGGCTGAGGAGTGTTTGTCCACGACAGTGCCTGCAAGCACGGCCAATGAGGGGCCACATGTGTATGCAAGGCCGGGCCCAGGGGTGGCTTTGCACAACTCTTCTCATCCCCCAGTTCTCTCCTCTCAGGATGGAAACCAGGGGGAGGCCAGGCAGCTGGCAGCCTTACTTTCCAGCTTTCCCACAGAGTGACTGGCTTAGCCGGCACACATGCACACATGCAAACACAGTACACACACACATGCAGGGGTACACATAGTACACACACACACACAGTCCAAGAGACAGGCCCTCTTGGGAGTCTGGCCACATGCACGCAGTTCATCAGAGGGATGGTAAGCATGTCCCTTGAGGCATGCATGGCGTGCAGACAGCTGGAGAAAATCCGAGACCCAACACCAGTGGTGGTACAATGGGTAAGAGCTGAGTGCTAACCAAAAGGTAGGCAGTTTGATCCCACCAGCTGATGAAGACACACATGGCAGGCTGCTTCTCTCAAATGCTGCAGCCTTGGGTGCGCCCCGATGGCATAGACCCACTCCATCCTGCAGGGCTGCTCTGAGACAGAACCAGCTTCATGACACTTTAGATTTGGGGTTTCAGGACGCACATTGCTTTTACAGGAGAAAAGAGTTGCTTTTTCAGTGGAAAGTAAAGGCAGAGAGCTGCCCCTGGTCATGGGTGACTGAGCTATGTCCATCTCTCCTCAGGGGTCACGTTCTCCTTTTTCTGGAAGACACAGGATGGAGAACAGTCCAGGCCCATGCCCTCCGCCTACGGGGGCCAGGTGGTCTCCAACGGCTTCAAGGTCTGCTCCAGCGGCGGCGAAGGCTCCGTGGAGCTGTACACACGGGAGAACTCCATGACATGGGCGGCCACCTTCAGCCCCCCAGGTGAGCCCACCCTGCTGAGGGAGCCAGGGAGCATGCCTGAAGGAAGGGAGTGGGTTGTCCTCCAGAGGGTGCTCAGTGTCCCAGCGCTTTCTTCTGAGGGGCTGCTGGGAGGCCGGTGGAGGTCAGATGACCAGGTGACTTGGCTGCACTGGGCCTTGGTTTCCCCATCCATGAGGCAGGCATGACATCAGTTGTATCTCCCTAGCAGTTCTGAGGAAATGAAGTTCTTGTTTCTCCTCCACGTCTTCCTCCTTCTCTCTTCTCCCTCCCTCTGCTCATCCTTTTCCTTGCTCCCTCCTTCTTTCTGGAGGTGCAGGAGCTGGGCGGGTGGTGCTGGGAGAGGACGGTGCCAGGGGGCCACAGGCTGGCTTGGGGGAGTATGGGGTGTTGAGGTGCGTTGACCACGTGCTTAATCTTAATGCCCTCGGCAGATGTTTTACAAATGGAAGGTTTGTGGCAGCTCTGCACTCAGCGAGTCTGTGGACGCCATTCCCCCAGCATGCGTGCTACTGCGTGTCTCTACGTGACATGCTGGGTGTTCTCAGGAAGCTTCAGACTTTTTCCTCATGTGGCTGCAGACTTCACAGATGGCAGCAAAGTGTCAACATCACTGTTATATATATGCTCTGGGTTACCAAACAGTGCTGCTGGCTCACTTAAGATGAGATTCGCTTTACTGCCCTGGTCTGGAGGCAAACCCACCATATCTCCGAGGTCTGCCTGTACTTGTATTTAATGATTTAAGGAAACTCCACCATCTGGCCCATTGCAGAGAGGCAGCCGGACCTAGCTGTTTAAACCCCAAACTCCAAGCTCTGACACTGTCTGACTCGGGTCCAATCCCAACAGTGGCGTGTGCTCATTCTGTGAACATGGACACAGATCATCTCTCTGTTCATTGTCCTTATTCGTAATATCCGGGTAACAACAGTGTTACTTAGGAGGGTTACTGTTTGAATTCAGGGAGCTACTGCTGCTCATTGAAATTCACCCAGTGGCTCTGTGGGCAAAAGATCCACTGATAGGGTTCTGAAAAAAAAAAGAGAAAAGATATCCTAGAAAATCCTCATTGTCGTGGTGAGCAAGAGTTGGAGCCCACTCCATAGCACCAACTACAGTGCACATGAAGACCCCAGGAACTGTCCGAGCTGTGCTGAACACATGTGCTCCTCTTCTGTTGGGGCTCCTGACCAGCTGTGCCCACCTCTTTGAGCGGTGACGAGTCTCGGTCTCGCACATCTGTGTCTCCCACCCTGTGCCGGGCTATCCGCACCTAGTCCATACTCTTACCACGTTCCTGCTGCTATCACAGCGCCTGCGTAACAATCTTATCTCTCAGATTCTTGGCGCTGGCAGCCCAGACGCAGCACCAGACACTGGGAGGGCCCAAGAACAGGTTTCGGGCGAATGTCTGAGGGCTGCTATTTTCCTACCCAGAAAAAACCGGGGAGAACTGTAAACACTTTTGCCTGGCAACATGATCTCTGTTTCTACGTCGGAGAGTTTTGTTATTCTTGCTGTGAAGCACCCGGGCAGGAATACTCTGGGCCTAGTTAGGATTCAAGAGTTCCCCAGAGACTCAGGACTGTTAGAAGTTTGCGCAACCCCGGGGCAAGAACCTGATGTAACTGTTGGTGATCTGATCTTGCCCCCAGTGGGCTGGTCCGCTCCTTCTAGCAGAGGCTGCTAGGCTGTCTGAACACAAACACTTGCTAAACACAGTGGGGTCCTTTGTGGGGCCATTGGCCAGCTGTGGGAGTCTGGACAAAGTTCCTCCCATGGATGAGAAAGACGAGAACAACAAGGTGGCTCCCCAAGGAGACTGTCAGTGAGGTGGGAGGCTGGCCACACCTGGTACTATCCACGGTCACCTTTTCTGCCTGAGAGCAGAGGCCAGCTCCAGGGAGCTCCAGTCACAGTAGATTTACTGCCTTCGCCCGGGTGGTGCTGCGAATGGTCCAGAGTCAGCTCAGACCACTCGTGTTGATTCCCTTTTCCATGACAAAGCACAGGCAACACGGGACTTTGTCTCTCCTGGCAATGACAGGAGACTGACAGGGGCCACCCCGCTTCACATCCATGGGCAGCACAGAGACCACGTTACTCCGTCCTCCACTTCTCTGTTGTGGGTGTGTTGTGCCCCTGCAAGTGGGTTCACTGTCCAATGGTGGGCACCACCAGACATGGCCTCTGCTGGTCAGTGGTCAGGCTGCGGCTACCAGATTCAGTTGGTAGCACACTCGTAACTGCTCGTAAGGACTGAGGGATGGGCACCTGAAACCCCAACTCCATTGCTGTTGAGTCAGCTCTGACTTATGGTGACCCCTCTGTAACAGAGCACAGCTGCCCCATGTGTCTTCTACTTGAAGTGTTTGTACAATCAACCTGCCATCTCTTCTTCTACAGGGCCACTGCCAGCCTTTAGAATAGTTGTTGTTAGCTGTTGAGTTGAATCCAACTCATAGTAACCACTGGTATAAGAAAACACAACACCAGCCAACCCTGCGTCCTTCTCACAACCACTGCTGTGTTTGAGCCTGTTTTGCTGCCACCGTGTCCATCCATCTCATTGGGGGTCTTCCTTTTTTTGCTGACCATCCACTTCACCAAGCACGATGTCCTTCTCCAGGACTGGTCCCTCTTGACAGTGACAAGTGTCACTCTCCTCCCTTCTAAGGAATATTCTGGCTGTACTTCTTCCAAACCTGATCGGTGCACACCTCTGGCAGTCTGCATTCTTCAACAGAACCATAATTCAAATGCATCCGTTTTTCTCCAGTCTCCCTCACTATTGGTCCAGCCAGCTCTCATGTGGAGATAAGGTGACTGGAAACACCATGGCTTGGGTCAGGCACACCCTAGTCCTCAGTGAACTCTTGCTTTTTAGGTCAGTGGTCAACTGCAGACAGTTTAACCACCTGAGGTGCAGGTGAGCTGAAGGCAGTTTCCTTCCTGTGTCCACGAGGACTGAGGATGGGCAAGCTCATGCCAGGCCCTGGAACCACGTGTGCTAGGGCGTTCTCTCTTCCAGGCCGCTACTGGACGCACGTGCTGTTCACATGGAAGTCCAAGGAGGGCCTGAAGGTGTACGTCAACGGGACCTTGAGTACCTCTGACCCCAGTGGGAAGGTGTCCCACACCTATGGGGACCCCAATGCCAACCTGGTGATTGGGGAGGCGCCAGACCAGATCAAGCGCTACGAGAATGGAGCATTCGACGAGTTCATCATCTGGGAGCGGGCACTGACTCCATATGAGGTCTCCATGTACTTCACAGCCGCCGTCGGTCAGTGAGTGTGGTGGGGTGGAGGGGGTGAGGGATGGGGTGCTCACTGCTCACCCAGGCATCTCCTTGTCCTCTACCACCTCCCAGCAGACAGCAGCCAACATCCCTATAAAACCGGCTGCTGTAGAATCTGTTCCATTCCATGGAAACCCTACAGGCCAGCATAGGAAGGGCCCCTAGGGTTTCTGAGATGATAAATCTTTACACGAGCAGATGAGCAGGTCTTTTCTCCCGTGGAGTTGTGTGTGGGTTTGAACTGCTGACCTTTCAGTTAATAGCCGAACACTTTAACCACTGTTGTATCAGTGCCCCTTGGTGGTGATGGTGCTGTGCTGTGGAGTCAGTTCCCGCATAGGGTTTCTGAGGCTGTAAATCTTTACAGGAGCAGAAAGCCTCATGTTTCTCCCATGCAACCGCCAGTTTTGAACTGCTGACCTTGTGGTTAGCCTGACTCGTAACCACTACACTACCAGAGCTCCTTCATGCCCCTCAATCTCATCTATAAACCAAACCCAACTCACTGGCATCGAGTCAACCCTAAGCCACACTAACCCCAAAGTAAAGCCGCCGTCACACAGGGTTTCCAATGGTGTCGTGCTGGGACACTGTAGGAAACCACGTACTGGTCGGCGCTTGAAATCCACCGGCTGCTCCTTGGGAACTCTATAGAGGGTCACCATGAGTTGGAGCTGACGCAACAGTGCTTAACAACAACAACAACAACACACAACAACAATAACAACACAACACCAACACAACACAACAATAACAATAACAATGCAACAACACAACACCACAATACTAACAACACAACACTAACAACACACTAACACAATACAACACAATAACCATAACGAAACAACACAACACAACACCAACACAACACAACAGTAACAATAACAATGCAACAACACAACACCACAATACTAACAACACAACACTAACAACACACTAACACAATACAACACAACAACACAACACAATAACAATAACGAAACAACACAACACAACACAACTATACAACACAACACAATAACACAACACAATACAATAACAACACAACACTAACAACACAACACAACAATAATACAACAATAACACCAACAACACACAATAACAACACAACAATAACAGGCCTTACAGATGCAGATACCTCACCTTTCTGCATGGGGTAGCTGGTTGGAACTTGGCCTTTCAGCAAACACATTCCCCACTGCACCACCACGGCTCCTTAATGAACCAATCAATGACGTCCTTTCTGGAAGGCTGGTGACCCCTCCCCCCCCAGGCCAGTAGAGGACCACTGCGGATGTGCCCCATGTGCGCGAGGGCCTCCACACAGCAGGAACTTGTCACATCCCACCCCCACCACGTCCACTGCAGACTTTGGGTACATGTGGGTTTTTTTTAATTGACATAAAATTTCCACAAAATAAAATTAATGTTTTGTTTTCCCTCTATTCACACTCACCGTTTTGATTTCGTTTTTTATTTAACTCCATGGATCTTACAAATTTGTTCAATTTCTTCCATACCCCAAATTCTAGTTCCTAATAGTTGTTGTTAAGTGCCGTCGAGTCGGTTCTGACCCATAGCGACCCTAAACAGGATTTCCAAGGCTGTAAATCTTTACGGGAGCAGAAAACCTCATCTTTCTCCCGCGGAGCAGCTGAGAGTTTTGAACTGCTGAGCTTGTGGTTCACAGCCCGATTCGTAACCACTACGCTATCAGAGCTCCTTATAGTATATGCATGAATATATGCAGAAAGGTTTCAGAACCATAATGTGGTAACATTGTGAATAATGGCTACTCTTTAAAACATTTTTGTTGTTATTGCTACTTTTGCTTCCCCACCCCCCCCTTTAAAGTCCATCCCAGTAAGAAAGTGTAATCAAGTGTTGTTGTTAAGCACTGTCGAGTTGGTTCCCACTCATAGCAAAACTGTATAGGGTTTCCAAGGAGTAGGCGGTGGGTTTGAGCTATCCAGTTATGGCCTCAGAATCACACAAAATCGTGATTTCTGTTCAGCCATGTCCCAGCCTTGATATCAGCAAGCCCATGTTGGCTCTTCTTTCTGTTTTGAATGATTGCCTTTTCAAAATGTAGCTAGAGTGAAAGGAACTATTTTAAAGTGTGCAGTTGCGCAACATTCTGCATACTCACACCCTACACACCCACGGCTTCGATCTCATTCCAGAACATTCTCATCATCCCATAAGGAGGCCCCTTGCCCGTTAACGTTCGTTGCTGCTCCCCTCTCTCCGGCCCCTGGCAACCACTAACCCACTTCTCCTCTCCAAAAATTTGCTTGTTCTGAGCATTCCATGTAAATGGAGTCTTCAGATCCATTTCCTTCTCTGTGAACACCATCCCTCTCCTAGGGAAAGGAGCCCTGAGGCACACTGGCTAAACACTGGACTGCTAACCCAGACCGGTGATTCAAACCTACCAGTCACTGCTCAGGAGAAGCATGTGGCCGTCAGTCTGTGTCCTTTAAAGATCACGGCATCAGAATCCCCGTGGGTCAGCTCTGCTCTGTCCTACAGGGTTCAGGGTCACTGTGAGTCAGAGCCGAGTCAACAACAGTTGTGGGTCTGTCGGACCCCAGCCTCTCTCCACCATCCACATTATACTCCTAACTCTTCAGGGTGCAATTTCAGCCTATTTCTTCGGGTTCTTTATTTACTTGAAATCCGTAATAGCTTGCATACCATCATCTTTTACCGGATGACTTGCAAGAAGGCTGTTCAAAAGCAGTTTAGAAAATAAATTGAAAAATAATTTGACCTGGGAAAATCTATACAGTCTCCCCATTAAGTTGATTTATTAGGGCCTTTATCTTTCCAGCAAGATTCCTACACAGAACATTCCCGGGTTATCTTTGATGTGTCTAAAGCTGGCATATTTGTAAATACGTTCGGTTGAACAAAAGCAGTCACGTTGTGTCCTGAAGAAAGCAATATTTAATTTTTCAGGGAAGCACGTTGTATCAACTTCAACGATGCCAAGCTTCTTGGTGACGTCCACAGCAGACACCATGGTGAGGACACACATTTTTTCCCTTGATTCCCTCTTGTGGGTGTCTGGAGGAGCTGTGAGGGGAGGGGAAATCCCACTGGACTGTCTGCAGGCCCCCTCTTTGGTGGTGGGGTGTCTGGGAGGCCATAGCCCGCTGGTTCTGAGACTGACTGAGAGCGTCCCCTCCGTCCGTCACCTTGGACGCCTAGAAGGACAAGGAAGACCACTGTCGTGTGACCTGAGGCAGCCTTAGCACAAATCCCACAAGAGGTGGCTGTGAAGAGCAGTAGTTTCGTCTCGCAGGTTTAGAGGTGCCAAGTCCCAATCAGGACGCCCCTTGAAGAGGAGGGCCCCTCCTTGGCCCATAGATGGGTCGGTCCTGCTGGTTTGATAAGACACCACTCAGAAGGGATGAGATTTTGGACCCACTGGAGCCTGGTGTGACCCCATTAATAGAGCAAAGCCAGCCACCCCGCTGCTGCCCACAGGATCCCCACTCTCGGCGACCCTGTAGGACAGAGTAGAACCGTCCCTTACGGTGGCCCCGGCTGCCATTTTTCTGAAAGCAGACTGACTCATCGTTTTTCCCGAGGAGTGTATGTGGGTTTGAACTGCGGACCTTGCGGTGAGCAGCGCTGCGGCACCAGGGTTCTTAAACAACACAGACATTTCCGGTTTCCAGCCCCCGTTCACATGCGCAGCCGCAGCTGTTAGCACTTCCGCCTGTCATTTGGGAGGAATTTATGCAGCCATGAGGAGTGTTCTGGAGCAAAACCTAGCGAGGCAGCTTCCGAGTGGGGGGACAGGGGACTGGCACCCTCAGCCTCTAGAACGAGCGTTTCCGGTCAGAGCACTTCCTGAACTCAGGGGCTTCATCTAGTAGACGGTCCCAGACTCCGGAGCCCGTCTGTTCCCAGCCCGGCCCCTGTGCTTGGTTTCCGGACCGATGGAATGGGAGTCACATGCTCCATCAGGTGACTGTGACGCTGGAACCCTCACGGAAGTGCCCGGATGTAGCAGCTGTTAGTGTTGCGCTGTTGCTGCCTAGGCGAACCCCAGACCCGGGATGGGATGCACTCAGGCCCTTGTTATGGGGAACTCACGCCTCAGGTTCCCTGCAGATGCCCACAGATGCCTACCACCCTATCATCAACAACCTGACGGAGGAGAGGAGGAACTTCCAGAGCCCCGGAGTTGTGCTCAGTTACCTTCAGAACGTGTCTCTGAGCCTCCCGCACAAATCCCTGTCACGGGACACGGCCCGGAATCTCACCGAGGTAAGAGGTGACAGGGTCCCTACAGTAATAAGTATGGCACCATGAGCCGTTCTCCCCACACAGCTCACTGGCGCCCCCTGGAGGCAGGATGGGCCCTTCCAGTCTCCCCTCCAGGCTGTCCTGCCCGCCTGGCCCCTCCATGTGTCCACGGGCCCCACCAGCGGACACTGGAGTCTGCAGGTCCAGCCCACCATCCACAGAGGATGTGCTCCCAGGGGTGACCTTGGAATTCAGTGAGCTTGGTGTTGAGATGACTTCTGCCCCCACGCTCCCTGATACGCCCGAAGCCCAGGTGGATGTGGGCTTGGTGTCTTCTGTCTCACCAGGTGTGTCTGAGACTGGCCCCACAGGGGAGGGCCGAGGGGTCTGCACAGTGAATGGGGGGAAGCCTGTATTCCGTCAGTGTTCAATACATACGGACCATCTATTTGAGTGCTATTGAATATGGGGGTCATGGTGACTTTGAGAGATGGTGCCTGGTACACAGCAGGTGCTTAATGAGTGCTAATGTTCCCTCTGAGTACACTGAGGGAGGTGGGGCTTCATGGCGGCTAGGGTGGAGGTACAGTGAGGTTTGCCATCAGCCATACCACAGAATACCAGGTAAAGCAGATCCATGGCAGAGTTCCAAAACTCGGAACCACAGAGCTATGAATATTTTTAAAGTTTGATGGTTTATAACTAGTGGAACTTGAAGCTGACGTGAGAATTAGCGTACTTTTGAATCTGCCGGGCTCAGAGACCTAGCCGATATGTTGGGCAAGACCAAACGGGGGAGCAGAAACACCACAGAAAAACACTGCGGGAACTTGGAGCAAAGGTGGACAATACACTTTGTTGGTTTTGCTTTGTTATAATTTTCTTTTCTTTTTGTTATCTGGTCATTGGCACCCCCACTGTTTGCGCACCTCCATTCTGGTGACTAGAGGGGGAGCCTGAGCGAGTGGACACCCCACCACCACCACCACTGGTGGGTTCTTCTGGCACTCATGCACACAGATACTCAGCCCAAGAGCAGGCCCTGAACGTTTTTGGGTTTTGTTTTTTAATACGGGAAAGGCTGGGACAGGGTTGTAGAGAGGGAAAAAGAGTTTAAAAATAAAATAGGCCGAAAATTAAATTAAAGCCTGAGGTATAGCATAACAACCAACAGTGGCATCTTGAAATCTCTTAGGCAGCTTTGAAAGCAAGAAGCTCAACAGAGGATATTAAAGTTATACTCATAACATCAGAAAAATGATTATAAAATGTTTCAAAACACTTTACAATGGAGTTGAGAAGAAGTCAGGAAAGTGCTACAGGAAAAATCAACTAAGATAGATATAGCATTGGAAACAATTCAAATCCTACAGAAAGAGGTCCAAATGATCAGCAACAGAATATCAGAAATAGACAATACTTTGAAAGGGCAAAGGAGCAGAATAGAAGAGATGGAAGTCAGAACCAGTGAGCTGGAAGACAAATCTCTCAGTACCACTAAGATAGAAGAAAAAGCAGAAAAAAGGATTTTTAAAAATCTGAAGACGGTCTAAGATTCATGTTGGACAACATGAAGAGGAATAACATAAGATTTATCAGCAGTCCAGAACAAGAAGAATCACACAAGTCCACAGAGGAAATAGTTGAAGAACTGATGGAAGAAAAGTTCTCTAACATCATGAAAACTGAAAAGATAAACATTGGAGAAGCTCAACAAACCCCAGGAAGGATAGACCCCAAATGAAAATCACCGAGACATCATAATCAAGGTCTCCAAAATCGAAGATAAGGAGACACTCCTGAAAGCAGCCAGGGAAAACATAAGTGTCACATACAAAGGCAAGCAAGTCAGATTAAGCTTGGATCTCTTAGCAGAAATGATGCAAGCAAGAAGGCAATGGGTAGACATATATAAAACCCTGAAAGAAGACAATTGCCAACCAAGAATTCTTTATCCAGCAAAGCTATCAATCAAATACGATGGTGTAATCAAAACATTCCAGGATAAATAGAAGCTAAGGGATTTTGCCAAAGCCAACTCTTCGCTACAAAACATCCTAAAGGGAGTTCTGTGGACTGAGAACCAACAAGAACAGACAACAACCAGAGACTGACATGGTGGTAGCACCTTCTAGAACTAAATCGACAGAAGAGTCGAGAATAGAACAAAACTGTAAGAACAAACTCAGAGAAACTGGGAGGTCAGCCTATGATCAAAACAATTATAATGTGAAAGAAGGTAAACACATAGGAAGAGAGATCCAGATGGTGAGAAGGTCAGGTAGATTACAGGATAAAATAGACTGCACTAAATTGAGAGAAAAGTTAATGGACTGTAAGGCAATCTCAAAGAAAATTAACACTTCATAACGAATTGGGCTGTGAACCACAAGGTCAGCAGTTCGAAACTACCAGCTG